TTTTTTAAATTTTAATAGAGATGGGGTTTTACCATGTTGGCCAGGATGGTCTAACCTCATGATCTGCCCGCCTTGGCCTCCCAAAGTGCTGGGATTCCAGGCGTGAGCCACCGCGCCCGGCCACCTGACAGAATTCTTACAGCTACCATTTTTGGACACCGCCTCTGTGCCATATGTCTGTGTAGTATAGATATTACCGTCCTTGTTTTATAGCTGAGCAAACTGAGACTTATATTAAATAATTTACCCAAGTTCAAATGCAACTCATGTTTTGGTCCCCAAGCCAAGTGGCAGCTAGTGTCCTGAACTGCCTTTGAAGAAGTAAGAAGCATAAGCATCCCAGGAATCCTAATAACTAACATTTACTGAGAACCTACTATGTGCCAAGTGCTTTATGTCAATCATCTTAGTCTTCCCAGCCCTCTATAAGGTTAAGAAAAGTGACCCCATTTTGCAATGAGAAAACTGAAGCTAAGAGAAATTTAGTAATTTGGCCAAAGTCACTAGTAAATGATAAAGATGGGCTTCAAACCAAACATTCCAGAGAAACCGTCTTCCCGGGAATGCTCCCAGTGTGGTTAAAGGACACTGAGGCAGCACGAGAAACAAGCACCTCAAGGCAGACAGTCCTGAGAGTCTGAGCCTTCTGCTGCACTGAACTCAGGACCCTCTCGGCGGCGTATCAGCTTCGTGTGTCCAGGGTTCTCTCCCCATGGTCTTCGCCTGTGGTTCTGGTTGTTTTGCTTCTTACTTCCCCCTCCCCTGCTCTGCAGGATGTGGCTGTGACCGCAGTGAGGAGCAGCCTCACCCTCTCCCCCAAACCAAAATGGGAGTCTGAAGAGGCAGGGGAGGTGGGATTGAGGGGGTTTCTTCCCCAGCTGAATCCTTCCAGTGGAAACCTGAACCTTGCTTTGCTCCCAGCTCATCTTGGGGCTTTCTGGACCACGCTCCCAAGCCGGAAGAGGAGATTGCTCCATGTGAGCCTTCCTTCCTCCTTGGCCTTCCTGTTACCCAGATCTCCATTGCCCCCACTGCCATCTCACATTTGGTCTGCTGTCCTCTCCGTCTCGCCCCGCTTCAGCCTCCCTTTTTCTCTTATCTGGGTCTTCCCTATGATCCTCTGGCCTGGCCATGCTCCCCCTCTGGCCCTTATCTGTCTATTTCCGTGTCTCCGGAGATTTCCTTGCATTTCTCACACACCCATATCCACCTGCATCCCTCAGCCCTGCCCCTACCCCATCCCATTCCAAACCAGGTCTTTCTGAGGCTGCCTTGGTCCCAGAAGAACTAAGCTAGGCTCTACAAAGGACCCAAGAATGGTACCAGCGAGTGATTCACAGTATGAAAATCTAAGAATGAAAGAGCTGGAGACTCCTCAGCCACCATTTTCCCCAAAGCCTACCCTTCTGTCACTGCCAGTCCCTCACCTGCTGTGCTGGATGCCAGTCTTGCCTTGGATGTTCCCGGAAAGCTGACAGAATGGAGAAGCTTCACTTAGTGTGAGAGCCCTTTGGCTTGGCCCCACCCCTTGAGCCCCGCCTACCTACTCTCTGCTCAACCTCCGGTTCATCGCTACTGTCACCAAAAAGGCCTATGGCCCAAGAACAACCTAGAAATCAGACAAAGATAAAAAAGAGTGGAATTCTGTGCGAAGCAGCTTTGAGTTTTTGAAGCGGGGAAAGGGATTTGCATCCTCCACTCTCAAATTGCTTCTTTCTTTTCTTGCTGCCCAGTTTCTGGAGATCCTGTCCT